ACCACATCTCGCCCTTCCGCGTCACGGACCTGTGCGTCAACTCCATTCTGCTGCGCGCCAATCGCGACCTGCGCTGGCTCGCACTCAAGCTCGGCCACGAGGACGTGGCTGCGGAGATCGAGAGCTGGCTCGACGCGGGGTTCCGCGGGTTCGAGACGCTGTGGGATGAACACGATGGGATCTTCAAGTGCAAGGACCAGCTCACGGGGAAGCTGCTGGATGCCAAGACCTCTGCGGGTTTCCTCCCGCTCTTCGCAGGTCAGATCTGAGGAGTGTCCAGCGCTGGGGAATGTCTTCCAGTTTCAGAAAAACATAGAAAACAGTCACTTCATGCTCCAACATTGCTCCTCCATGCCTTTTCATGGGAGTGACCGTCTTCCTGCTTTTGCTCTCCAAAGTAAGCCCCTTACCCGCCCTCCATCCCCTTCCTCATGCTCCTGTCTCACCGTCCTTCTTGCGGCCTGCCCTCCCCATCTCTCCCCCCACCTCCCAACCCCCTCCCATCCACGAGCAGCAATGAAGAAGCAGGTCGCATGACTGGCAGTGACGCCGCAACCAGGTCACTGTAGAGTGCTCCCACAACCCACCCCATCTCTTCCCCACCCAACCCCCCTCCACTCCCCTCCCTCCTCCACCTCCCATGCAGGAGCGGCCACAAAGAAGCAAGCGGCGCGGCTGGCAGTGACGCTGAAGCGGTGGCAGGAGCAGGTGCCCTACGGTGTGCCCAGCACCGACCCCTCGGACCCGCGCTTTGAGGCGCTGCGCTACTGGCGCGGACCAGTGTGGCTCATCATTAACTGGATGGTTTCAAACGGACTCAAGCACTATGGGTAAGCCGGGAAGAGCACTCTGGGTGATGGTTTTTAGTCTCCTAGAAAGATTCCTTAACAGGTGTGGTATGCGCACAAGGACCCGTGTGGTTCGTCATCCACTGGATGGTCTCAAACGGACTCAAGCACTACGGGTAAGCCGGGAAGAGCACTCTGGGTGATGGTTTTTAGTCTCCTAGAAAGATTCCTTAACAGGTGTGGTATGCGCACAAGGACCCGTGTGGTTCGTCATCCACTGGATGGTCTCAAACGGACTCAAGCACTACGGGTAAGCCGGGAAGAGCGTTCTTGGTGATGGTTAGGCCCCGCCGGAGTTTCCTTTGGCTTGTTGTGGAGAAGAGTTGTGAGGATGAGAGCGTTGAACATGTTTCTGCCCTTCTTGTTGTGTGCCGTGTGCAGGCTGTCAGAGCTAGCCGAGAAGGTGCGCAACAGTTCTCTGCACCTCACATCGCAAGCAGGGCTGCACGAATACTTTGACCCACTGACCGGAGCAGGGGCGGGTGGAGCAAACTTCTCCTGGACGGCAGCCATGTGCCTCGCGTGGCTGGACCGCCCTGCTGCTTCGGCTATTGGCCACCGCATGAGTGGGCCGAAGCGGCCCTCTGATATGGCATTAAATGCCATGGACACCTCCTCGTGAGAGTTGGTCTGGGTGGCATGTTATGAGGTTTGAGCTTTGGAGACGAAGGGGAGATGTATATGGTGCTTGGAGCCGTAATATGGGTGCAGTTTTTGAATGTGATGCATAGTGTTCCTTATGGTGGATAATTTTCTATTATAATGGGCTTGTAGGTATTGTTGGATGGAAGTGTATATTCTGTGGTTTGTTGCCTAGGATCACCTGCTACCTCTTTTTATTGTTCTTGGTTGCTAATATGTAACGCTAGTGCCATAACAACGTCAAGCTCCTTACGAAACGGATGATTAAATTAGAGCAGGGGCAGTGTGATGTGAAAGGTGCATACCATAGAACATATTTTAGCCCATTCTATACCTTTACCATTCGTCACCGAATCCATAGCTACACCTGCATTTTCCATGATTCCCGCTCTCTAGAACAAGTTGTCCAGATGCGATGCTGCATTTAGCGCGTTCATCGCGTGCGGTTGAATTCTGTACGCAAAGGAAGAACTATGCTATCGTACATTACCCTTTTGGAACATAGCGAAACAGAACAAAACCACTAGCACCGTATGGCGCACTGCTGTCAGGTCAGGTGCATCACACCACGAAGTACCAAATCAGTCCAAAACGTACACGACCGCACAGAAACGAATCAAATCAAAGCATGCTACTTTGCTGATCCTGCCCCTCTTCCCACCTTTTGCCTTCCACCAGTGCCCTTCATCCCCCCACCCCACCCACCCCACCCACAGTTGTTCCCTCTCATTCTGCTTGTGTCTCTATTGAGGATCCTTGAGTCGCGCCGGTAGCAGTGCGCGTGCCCTTGTCTGCCATTGTTGTCTCGTCATAATTCTCGGTATTTCGGGCAGATGTTGTTCGTTCGCGTGGCACGCGAGTCCGCTAGTTGGCGTTGAGATGTAAGCTGCGAGTAATCCAGAATCGCCGCTTTCGTGCTAGCCAGCAGCAGCAGCAGCAGCCACTATCAGTTTATTAGTCGATGGGAGCTGGAGAAAAAAATCCAATCTCTTCTCGCTTCCTTGCTCTCAGATTCGGGTGGGCGCGAATTGGTCGACTCTGCTTAGATTCGGTCCCCTTGCAACGCCGTCGTTAGAAGGGCGTAGGATTACCCAAATCCCGGGCGGGCGAGTTCGTGGACGGGACACGTGTCAAGATGCAACGGGACATGACGTGCATCCGCCGCTTCCTCCCCAAAATCCTAGCTTTGCTGCTGCTTGAAAGTAAGCTTTGCCTGTTCTCCTCTGCTCATGTCCGTCCCTGTATGTTCCAAATTCCGCCCATCCCCCACCCTGTCCCCAACAATCCCAATCCATGTCCAATTCTCACAACAACCCGGTTGTCTGTCACCCATTTCCCTCCCCAGTGGTCGCAGCAGCAGCAGCAGCAGCATCAGCAAAAACAACAGCAGCAGCTGCAGCAGCGGCGGCAGCAGCAGCAGCAAGAGGACCTTTCAACGTGACTCTCCAGAGCGTGACTGTAATGAGGGACACGGGCATGGTGCTGCCGCCCAGCGTCTTCTTCTCGTGCAAGGACGACGCGTCGCACATCGCCCTGCCGCAAGTCCACAGCATTCTCACCAAAGTCGAATTCTCTGGCTCCGAGCCATGGCAGGTGCGCACAGGATTGCCAGTGCCCGCCGTGGCTGGTAGACATGTGGCCGGCCCGGCAGCAGGTAGGCACATGGCGGGTGGCACATGGCGGGTGGCACATGGCGGGTGGCACGTGGCAGGAGGTAGGCAGGTGGGCACATGGAATGGTGGTCTGAGCGAAGGGCGGAGCAGAGTATCGGAGCACCTCAAGTGGTGAAGGCGTGATTGGGGACAAGCACAAGAAAGGGGCTGGTTGCATAGCATGTCAACAAGGCAGGAATGATAGGCAGTGAAGTGATTGCAAGCGCACACCCGCGTGCCAGCTTCTGTCGCCTCTTGTCGTATCGTGTCTATCTCACCTGGTCCTTCTCTGAAAGCTTCTGTTGTTCCCCCCTCCACCTGATCTGTCCTTCAAAGATCCCCCCTGATCACTCGCAGTCACCATGTCTCCGTAACTCCTCCTTCTCCTCTACCCCAACTTGACTCATCCACCTCCTTCCCCTCTCCCACTCCCTCCGTCGCTCCCCACTCCCACTCGGTCCCCATCCCCCCACGCATCCCACCAACAGCCAGTGACACAGCTGGGTCACGAGCAGTGCAAGCAGTGCGGCATATACCAGCGCCACTTCTTCCTCTACACCTCCACCGTTGCCGAATTCCCGCTCTGCCCCGCCAACTTCTCGCTGCCCGCCGAGCAACAACCCACGGCCACGGGGCCACATCGGCGCAACCCCACTGCAGCCATGTCAGGCGGTGTAGCGGTTATCGACATACCAGGGGTGCTCTACGTGTCACTGGCGTGTGATACGTGTGTGGCTCCCCCGCCCCCTCCTGCTCCACGCGGTCAGTGGTTTAGTCACCGATCGCTGGGAATGCTCAGTTCCTGCTACAAGCGAAGCTGGTTGTCTAGCTCCCACTGGTTTCCGCTTGCTAGCCCTGCTGTTCAGCCAACCTCGTTCAGTATGCCCGCCCGCCTTCCATGGTAAATTTCTGCTTCCTAGCCTGCTCCACAACCTGCCCCTTTTCCCTCTCCCTCTCGCTCTCCCTCTCGCTCTCCCTCTCTCTCTCTCGCCCTCTCCATCTCCCTCCCTCCCTGCCGTCCATTTCCCCACCTTCCAGTAACCGAGTTTGAACCAGCAGTCACCGACGTCACGGGCACATGGGTGACAACCGTCATTCTCTCCTTCGCCTTCCTGGTCGCCGTCGCCATGTGCTGTGTCATCGCACTCATTCTGCGCCACCAGCACCGCCGCAGACGGCAGCATGACGAGATGGAGAAATCCCGCTTCTTGGATCTGCATGGCGATAGCAGCAGCAGCGGCATCCATGATCACAGCCAGAATGCACCGTATTTGGACAACGATCCTGAACATGGGGATGAGAGTGGTGCAGGTGAAGGAATGGGAGGGGAAGGTTCGGGAGAGAGTGCTGCAACAGCAGCTTTTGCTCATGGGACCAGTATTGATGACGGTTACAGAGACGATGATTTTTATTTAGGTAATGGTCATACTACAGCTGCACTTCACTTCCGCGGTGCTGCAGCTGACAAGTCAGAAGAGCAGGGAGTGCCCATGATATAATGGACTCTGATCTTAGGCATGCATGCACAAGAGATCTTGCAACTTGCTGGTCTAGTTGACAATTTGGAGTTGCACTTTGTGTATGCGTTAGCTTTTGCTGCTGTACATGTACTAGGATGGCATGCTGCTTGGGAAATGTAATGCATAATGTTATTGTAATATAAACAATGCATACAAACAAAAGAATCGCTGCACGTTGCAAGCCCCTAATGAGGAACGTCTCGCAGCTAACCAATTCCGAGGCGCTCTTATTGCAGGCCCTAGACCTGCTCTTATTCTCCTATACGTTGCAGCTCCAAACTTGCTGCCAAGAATCGGCTTGTGAATATTCCTCATCCTCCACCTCCTTTCGTTCCGCCTCAGATGCTCTCACTGCCAGCCGCGTCGCACACGCCGCCCAGACTCCCGCGGTCGCTGCTGCCTCCGCCAGAGCTCCGCGGCGAGTGCAGCATCTCCTCTGACGCCGACCGCGTCAGGTACATCCCCGCCTCTCCCGCTGCCTCCCCCATGCCACCGCCATCCCCTCCCAGCATCTCGCACATGCTCATCCCCTCAAACGTTCCGCTTCCGCTTCCACTTCCGCCGTTGATCCCTGCAGCCGCCAGGCCCGCCTTGCCGCCGTGCTCCTCCTCTCCTTCCACGGTGTACACCAAATACGTCTTAATCTCCCCGGTCGCGAACCCGTTAAAGCTGGACCCAGCCGCCGCAGTGTACGCGCCCATGTTTGGAAACACCAGCCAATCACCGATCGCCAGCTCAGGCAGCGCCTCGTCGCGCAGAACCATATCCAGCCCGTCGCACGTGGGACCGAACACCGTCGACGGGAAGGACGCTCCGCTCGCCCCGCGCAAAGCTCCCGCGCCTCCGCCGCCCTTCCTGCGCTTTCCCCCGCACTCCGCCTCCGGAGGCAAGCCCTCGCCATCTTCCGCCTTGTCATCCGTACCGCCGCCGCCGCTCACGTCAATAACCTCAAATCTTCCGCCATCAAATTCGTTGTTGGCGGAAGACCCGTCATAAGCGGCGGACGCGCGCGCAAGCGGGTGCGCGCGCACAGTCGCGTGGTCGTAGAGCGCGCAGTTCATCGAGCCGTACAGCCCGTCGTTGATCCAGTACTCGCGCCGCTCGCCGCGTACCCGACGGCCGAAGACGCAAGTCGCGAGCGTCGAGGGCGTCTCAGCAAAGTACCTGCCAGGCTCCGCGATCACCGTCACGCCGCTGGCTTCCGGGAAGAAGCGGTCAAGCGCCGAGTTGATCGCTGCAGTGAAAGAAAAAATAAACTTATCAGCACACTGAAAATCGAAGCGAAAATTGGGTGAACAGCAAGCAAATCTAGACAAACAGGAGCCAGGAACGCGAATCAGGATATCACAAAGCGAAAAAAACAGATCAGGGCGAATCAAGGGATTCAGGTAACTCACCATTGGCCGCAGCGTCGAAAGCCATGCCGCCAGAGCAACCCGTCCCAGGCGCCGTAAACCCGCCGCCCACGTCGAGAACCGACATGGCAGGCGTGCCGGCCGCTCGTGCCACGTCAACAGCCATGTCGAACACGTCGCGCGCTGCAGCTATGGCGCGGGTGAATGCAGCGGGATCAGCCGCGCCGCTACCGACGTGGAACGATACTCCCGCTACGTGGAGCTTGAGGCGGGCCGCGACGGCGAGGAGAGAAGGCACCTCGTGCATGAGCGCGCCGTACTTGACGCCGAGGTTGCAGCGAGCCGTGGAGTCGTTGGCTTGCAGACGGAGCAGCACCACCGCAGACGGGTTCAACGCGTGTACCTGTGTTCCAACATTTGAGCGCATTAGATTCAACAAAGAAAAAGGAAGGAAAATCTGAGAATGATTGAGCTGCAATTTCTTATTTCAACTTAACGGTTCATGAGTCAGGATTTGTACCTTGACAAGCTCGGATTCAGAGTCGAACGTCGTCGCACGCACACCCACTCGCGAGGCGTAGGTGACGTGTGACGGCATCTTGCAGGGGTTGGCGAAGATGATATTGTCAGGCGACACACCCATGCTCAGAACCTGCAAAGCGAGCAGCACCGATAACAGTCAGCATCATAGCTAACAACTGCAGACGAATCTCGAGCGGATTTGAGGTGTAGTAAATGATTAACGAGGAGGCGTCTTGCAGACCGACCTGAGAAATCTCGGCCTTGCTCGCGCAGTCGAATCCCGCTCCTAAGGATGCAAGCACAGAGAGGAGCAGCGGCGACGGGTTGCACTTCACCGCGTAGAACGGATGGACCCGGGGAAAGGAGTTCGTCCATCCCTGCAAGAAGAAACAAACCACAAGAGACGAGAGCTTGTCAGAATGATTCTCCAATGTTTAAGAACGAATTCCAGAACGAAGATTGCACAAGTTTAAGTAATGAAGGGAGTGCGACGCACCGTAAACAGACGGACGATTTCCCCAATGTCCATCACGTAAAAGGGATCCTCCAGCCGCTTATCCCGAATGAGCCGCTGAATCTCGCCGTCTATCATTCCCGCGCGTCCAGTCGAAGCAAGCGACGCCTGCGACTGCAGAACACGGATGCTTCCGGCGTCGGCCAAGAAGCTTGGCGCCATGAAAATGGGATTGTCCATTGTACGCGTTTCTCCGTCAAATCTGCGCACGTCATTTTGCTGATGAACCTGACCGCCACCCGTGTCGAGATCCATGCGTTTTGCGTCGGAGTTGCCAGACCCCCAGGGAAGACCCCATTTCGTGACGAGCATCTTCCGTGCGATGTTGACGCCATTCTTGGCCGGATTCGAGGTAGGCGTGTGAAATGAGTCGTCGAACACGCTTCCAGGTTCGTACGTATCCGGGTGAATCTTAGGCTTGAAGAGGTTAGCCGAAGAAAAGACGGGGTTCTCTACCACCATCGCAGATCCGGCCATTCGAAGAAGCTCGTTGCGAGATAAGCAGTTGAAGCCCGAATACGGAGAATACACACGCGCAAGAGCCGGTAAAGGGTAGCACTGAGAGCAGGAGAGCCTTGAGAAGCAGTGGAAACTGGAGTGGGTGAGTTGAAATGCGCTGACCGACCAGACTATAAACTACGACGGTGAACTTGAGTGAGGATGACTGGCCAGACCTACGAGCAAGTGCGGTAAGCGATGAGACACGACTGTCCCTCCTGCAGCAGAAAATGGCGGCAGCGTCGTCGGCTCTGTCGCTGTACAGAGGTCAGGGAATGAGTGAGCGAAACGAGTGCAGAGAGGGACAAAAACAGCGGCGAAATGATGCGGGGGGAATCGCGTGTCGCGGTAACCAGACTGAACCAGTTTCAGCCTCACGTCTTTCCGCGCATGAGAAACGACGACAGGCGTCGGCCACAAGCATCTCGTGGTGATTCCGAAGATGACCCTTGAGAATTGCTCCATGCTGACGACGGCGAAACGCGAGAACCGGGCGAACCTACACTCAGCTTATACAGTGCAACCAGACTTAAACATCCTAGATAAATTCACTAGTAATAGTGACTAAATTACAAGGGCTTTGTCATTAGCTATGAGGAGGGTGCCAGTTGTCAAGGAGACATCAGCTTTGTCTTCTGACGATATAGGAGAAGGGAGCAAGGACAATATTGCACCATGTACGCACTCACATTTCCAAGGACAACCCTGCTCAAGCAACAAAGAGCAGGTCTTTGTTTCAGGGTTAGAAAAAAACACCTACACGAAAACAATTACGGTACATGTATTATGTTTACACCAAAAAAACAACCAGCAAACTTACCCGCGAACTGAGCCTGTTCCTCTTGTTGCAACAACCAGCAAATCGATATGATTGCGCTCGCAGAATTCCACCAGTAACGGGCGAGGATCGCCCTCAAGCACATGAGTGGAAACTTCGAACGATGCCCCCTGAGAACCCAAAGGTGGACAGATGCATGAAAAGTGGGGAACTAAGAGGTCGAGTTGCAGTCCCACACAGAAAAGAAGAGAGCCACAAAGCGGAGGTTGCAGGAGATTTGCAAGATAATGCTGTTATGCAAAGGCTGAAAGGAGGGGTCAAGGAGAGGAAGGGTGGTACCTTTGTTTGCAACGCGAGGGAGATGAGAGCGTCAAAGTGCGGCCGCATCACCATGTCATTTGTCTTTTTCCCATCAGCTGCTAGCATGCGGTCTGGTTACAATGTGCGCATATGGAGAGCGAGGGGGGTGTTAACAGCGGCTGGGAAAGCAGACGTCAAGCAAGGGAAACAGACCTAGAACCGCAAACGCCCAAGGACATTGCACACCATCCACAAATCCTCCCGTTCACAGATTGGGGAGAGTAAACACCACCTTGCCCACATTCCCCAAGGCCATGCCATAGTCATCAACTCCAACCGTCATCGGGCACATTTCCCATAAGCCAGCGCACCTTGCATGGCATAGCTGGGTTCTCGGTCGGCATGCAGCAGGTAGAGGCGGTCCTCTGTGCGGCACACGTGGTGCAGCACCCACTTGCATGCCTCGCCACTCGCCTCACTCCTGTCCAGCCCTACCGCGATGCGGCGCGGGCGGTTGCACTGCAGGCGCATCTGCTCCTCCTCTGGCGCCATGCGCACCACCAGCACCGGGCACGGCGCACACACTGCACAGTAGTTGCCCCGGCTGCCTGTCAACATGCTGCGGGGTGAAAGGGGGGTCGGAGTGAAAGGGGGGGTGGGTGGAGGGTGGATAAGGGGATAGACGATAGGGGGGTGAATTGGGGGGTGGATGGATCGGGAAATAAGTTGGGGATTAGTGGGGATGGGGAGTGAATAGGAGGGTGGATTGGGGATGGGTACATTTCAGGGGAGCAGAAGGCAACGAAGAGAGGTGGAAAAGCGGCAAGAGGAGGGGCATAAGTGCAGCAATATATAAAAGGTATTGAGAGAGGGGAGGAAAGAGGATGAGGGGATGGAGAATAGGAGGGGAAGAGGAACGGGGCGAAGGGGGGAAAGAGAGGGGGGAAAGGTGGGGAAGAGAGGAAAGGAGGGAAGGGTTAGGGTTTCAAATTGGTGAGGTAAGCGAGCTGCATATGCTGTTGGGTTAGGGAAAGCACAGGTGGGTGAGTGGGTGGATGGGTGGTGGGAGGGAGGGGTTGCGTGGTCCCTCACCGGTGGGAGGAGAGTTGGCGGCGGCTACCGAGCACAAGGAGGTCCACATCCCTGTCCGCGCATATAGACACAATCTTCTCCCGCACATCGCCTTCCGCAAACGCTCCCTCGCACTGCACCTGGAGCGATGAACAGGCAGACCAGCAGACAGGCAGGCGAGCAGGCAAGCAGGCGAGCAGGCAAGTAGGCAAGCAGGCGGGCCGCGGATGAGGGAGGGCGTCAGTGGTGAAGAAGGCGGAACGGACGAAGCGAAATAATGAGGACGGAAGCAGATGATGATGGTGCTAGGGAGCGGGAGCTGACCTGCTTGTCCGTCTCCTGGCACATCTGCCGTGAGCGCTCCATGAGACTGTCGAGGAGCTGAGGAGTCACAGCCACTGGCGACAGAGATACAGGAAGAGAGGCAGCCGCAACACGGAAGACAGAGGAAACGGGGACGAAAGGCGCATTTAGGTTGTTTTTTTCTGAAACGTCGAACATGCGCGTTATGGCATTTGAAAGCTCCTTAAACCGTGCAACCGTACTCGGCACTCCCAAAAAGCATTTAGTTTGTCCTTTTTTTCACTACGAGAGGGCATGTTCCTCCTCCTCTTCCTCTTCCTCGTACCTGGCTGCACGGACGGGTCCTGTACGCACAGCAGCAGCACGGTGTCTTCGCCCTCTGAAGCCACGTGGCCTATGGTCCACCGCAACGCGGTTCGCGAGCCACGTGTTTCATCCATCGCAACCATTATGCGCTTTCTGCGAACCGCGACAGTGTCTGAAGTAGCCATGGCTTCTAGACGTAAAAGATTACGGCTTTCACCGGTTAAGGTGCCGGATAGGAATCTTTCTTGGACTAATACCACCGTTAGTCGACGCCTGATTCTTTAGCTTGTTCCGCAGCGCTTCGGTTCATCAAGTTACTTATTCAAAAGTGTGTTGAAGTACAGTGAATGAAGGACCAATGCCGACCTGGTCTTGAGTCACGTGAGCAGAACGAAATACTGTATAGCACCAGTGCTAATGCCAGGAGAAGCCCCCAATTGCGTGACCGTGTTTTTGTTGGGAAGGATGCCGCTGAGTGAGGGCTGACATGGAGAATATCCAGATACACCAGTCCAGATAATTCCTGCGTTGGAACAGTGGGATGCTTACTTCAATTAAAGATTTTAACTCTAGTGGTGCTTTCTCCTTTAGAAACATGTTATAAGACGTGGTTTGTAAATTGTACAGCCTTTTGATATTTTATCATATTTATTCTGACCATTGCCCTTCATCCTTGCCGAGAAGGTGCATGCTATTTTACAGTTCATCCAGGGAGTATTACGATAACATTCGTTGTAAAAATATTTCAATATAATTCTGTGTTCTCGGCCTGTCCCAAAACCATTACGGACTCTGCTGCTGACTATCTTACCAAGCGATTATCCTGGTTTTGATGTTTTTTGCATAGTATTACGGTGGGTGGGTATGAATGTTAATCGTCGAGAATATTGTGGTTGGTCAGTAGGTCGATGAAATGTAATCTGCATACACTTGTGAAAAATATTTATGTGCTGTTTATCCTCCTGGTCCCCATCCTTGTAGCCCTTATGCTACTTAGACTTACGTGTGTCTGTGTTTGTGTGTTTCTTTATGAAGTGGTTTATAAAGAAACGAGTCCTGCAATAACCGTTGCATGCAGTTTTGTCCATGTTGGCGCATCGCAGGTTGAGTTACTCGTGACAATAACGCGCGGAGTTCATGGAGCCAAACGCCTCGCCAAGGATCCCTGCGCGACGAGCGACAACGCTGTGGTCGCGCAACCTTTCGCAAACTTGGGACCATGATGGACTTTCTGCGGCAGTACTTTCCAGTCTGCCCTCGTCACGCATCCGTCAAACCCCATCAACCTGTCCGTCTGTCGCTGGTTCTCGTTGTGATGCGCAACTACAGCGAGGACACAGCACACCACAGCACCAGCACCACCCACCAACCACAACCCCCCGCAACCCGCTCCCCCTCAACTCCCCCTCCCTTCCCCAACACCACTTTCCCCGCCCCCTCCCCCTCCCTCTTACACCTGATGCCCATTTCAGTCTCGTTCCCCATCTTTCTCTGTGCTCCTCTTTCGAGCACGCGCTCGCTACGGGGAGAATGGGACTGTATCTGGCCCAGCGTGTCTTGTCTGGGAAACTCGAATAATTTATTCGAGGTCAAGAATATCTTAGTTCTGTCGTGGGCTAGTAACGCGCGGGCCGTTGGCTGTGAATGTCGACCACTGGGCGTATGGAGTGGCAGTGGGCGTGTTCAGAGTGGGCGGTTGAGTGAGCATTAGGGTGTACACAGTTCACGCAATCTCCTCAGCGCAGCACCACCACATACGGACTGACTTGCTTTGCACGGACTGACACTTGAGCTGAGAAATGCGGACTACAGCGTCCCCTCCCTCCCCAATCCAACTCCGTATCCCATTTTCCCGAGCGGTTGAGCACGAACTGGGAAGAGGAAAGCACCCCCCTTCCGTGCCTCCTGCTAGGCTTTCCCCTGGGCTTGCGCCAAGATTCCCCCTCTCCCCGCACCCCTCCCTCCCCAACCCCCGCCAGCGGTGAATGAAGGTTTCTCTGCCCACCCACCTGCCTCTGCTCACCCTGCTTTGGCTCTCCTCCTAGCTCCTCATTGCAACCAAGCTCCGTTGTGTGTAAGGACCCTCTGCTGCTCCACTCTGCTTTCCCCTTCACCACGTTTGATATGCTGTGTTTAGGTTGGCACGCTTCTACACTTACCGCTTAAGTCTACTCTTGACACACTTCCTGCTTCGCTGCTTGACGACAGCGACGTCAATGTTCCTAAATTGACCAGACACGCTTCGTATTTTCTCCACCAACCAGTGTGTAGAATTCCCGAACCTTCGTTTTTTTTCACAATAAGCCAGACTCGTACTTTGAACCCTAACATCTTCCGTGGCCTTACCGCAAAACTCACATTTAGATGCAACCGTTAACCTAGGCTGTATTAGGTTCCAGAAGGATTTTCACAACAGCCAATACTAAACAGTCTGGTCCAACCCGTGTCTGTCAAATGCCGTGCTGTACTTCGCCCGCGCGGCGCTGTTGCCTAGTAAGGCAGCCGCGCTCCATCCTTCCGCCACGGTAGCCGTTCGTTACGCTGGTGTTCCGGCTTTCACAACGACAGCAGCCTCTAACATTACTTGCTAATATCTCTTCCTGAGACTCGCCAGCAGGTTTTTTTTCGGCTCCGCACAGTTGCCTCCTCAAGGCACCTTTCGCTCGCTCGGTGAAAGGCATACTTGACTATTCATTGGCCCGTATACTTTGCAGACTAATCTAATATATTAGACCCCTCCTAACTTTGGAAGCTTTCAGTCTCCGGGTTAGTTGTGGATATTCGTGAGGGTAAAAGGAATTGTTTGCGCTGTTAGCTTCGTTACGCCACCATGGGTGCCATGACGTCATCGTTAGCGGCGAAATTCGCGTTTTTCCCGCCAACTCCGCCTTCATACGGGATCGTGAAGGACCTGAGCACTGGAAAGCTGCGATTCGACAGCATCCCGCCGCAAGACCACGTGGACGTGCTGTTGATCGATACGCGGCGGAGACAGCAGGTGGCGGCCATGTTCGTCCGCAATCCCCGCGCGCGATTGACGCTGCTGTACTCGCACGGCAATGCGGCTGACCTGGGACAGATGCACGACCTCTACGTCGAGCTCGCGCATATGCTGCGAGTTAATCTCATGGGGTGGGCCTCGTAACTACCCCTGCTCTCCCTTCCCTCCTTCCGCTCTACCTCTCCGTCTTTCCCTCGTTCCTTCGGTCCCAATTGTCGTTGTCAATGACGCATCCTTTCAACTTGTAAAAAGGAAAACTTGCACTCGTGACTGCCTTTAGAGCTCTCTGGACCTTTTCTTTGCACTCTCTGCTCTTCCTGTCCTCTCTGTTCACCTTGTTACGTTCCCAATCTTCCGTCATCTCCCATCCCATCACCTTCCGTGTCTCACCAGGTACGACTACACGGGATACGGCGCCTCAACCGGCAAGGTACGCTGCTTCTCGCAAGCTGGGTTCACAGGGAAGGGTGGAAGGGGAAAGGAAAGGTGTATGTGTTTCCCGGTAACTTGAGGCAGCTCTCTTTCAATTGCCATCGTGCTCCTCTTCGGACGGTTGCTTACGCCCTCGTTCCTCTGCAGTCCCCCTCCTCCCCCCACCCCCGTCCTCGACCTTCTCAGCCCCTCTCTATGGCGTCTTTCTTCTTTGCTCCGCCCTTTCGACAACTATCTCGAGCGTTTTTCGCTTAAATCAAGTTCGCCTCGCCTGCAGAACCACCCCCTCCCCATCCCCCCTCCCCCCCTCCTTCCCCCCCTCCTCATGACTTCGTAGCATCAGCCTTGACGCAATAGCCACCGACGTCAGTCCCTGCCCACAACCCCTATCCGTCTCCTCCTTTCTCTCCTCCCTTTCTCCTTTCTCCCTCCCCCCATTCCCCCCACCCCGCGCACCCGCTCCCCCCGCGTGTCCGCGCAGCCGTCGGAGGCGGACACGTACGCGGACGTGGAGGCGGTGATGGCGTGTCTGCAGCAGCGGTACAGCATCGGCGCGGACCAGGTCGTGCTGTACGGCCAGAGCGTCGGCAGCGGGCCCACCGTCGACCTCGCATCGCGCACGCCGAACGTGCGCGGCGTGGTGCTGCACAGCCCCATCGCGTCGGGTGTGCGCGTGCTGTACGAGGTCAAGCACACCTACTGGTTCGACATCTTCCCGGTACGCTTTGCGCTGAGAGGGGGGGAGGGAGGGGAGAGGCGTGGGCGGAGGCGGGGAGGGAGGTGTGACTGTGCGGTGCTGTGCCGTGCCGTGGTTGGTGTGTGTTGCATGGTCGGGTGAGGTGGGAGATTGCACAAGTTCGGGTGGGGGTGTGTCAGCATATGTGCGTGTGTTTTCGTGACGGGGTTGCCACTCTGGGAAATACTGCCTGCACACATTTGCCGCAGTGTGCTGTGCTGTGCCATGATGTGCCGTGCCATGTTGTGTCGTGGTGTGCTGTGCCGTGCTGTGTTGTGCGTGCCTTGCTGTGCTGTGCTGTGCCTTATCGTGCCTTGTCTTCCCCACCGCTGTCTCCGTTGCTCCTCCACTCCACATGCGCACAGAACATCGACAAGCTGCCCAAAGTGGAGTGCCCTGTCTTCGTCATGCATGTACGTCCTACCGCGCCCCCCTCATTCCTCATCCCCTCCAGCCCGCTCACCACCTACTCCTGCTCTCGCTGCCTTGCCCGTCTATTTGCTCCGCTCCTCCCCATACAACCCCCCTCGGCCCCCATCCCTACCCCCCACCTTACTCTCCCTCCCCATCGTACTCCTTTCCCGTTTTTCTAGAAGAAATAGTTGCACCTGGTCACGCTGCACTGCACTCTATCATGTTTCATCATTCAAATTGCACTCTACCCAGAGCAGCGCTCTGTTTTCGTTCGTAATGTACATTGAAGAAGGTGAAACCTGCGCACCACACCTGTTTAAGTTGAACCCACCCTCGAAAACGGACGCAAAGAACCCGATTGGCACGTGCTGGTGCGCGATTACAGGTGCTCATCCTCACTCACACTCCGTCTATCCCGCGTCCCTTCCTCCCCCCCCCACACTCCTTCCTTCCTCCACTGCCCCGCACCTCCCCCCGCCTCTTTGCCTCCCCCTTCCGCCCGCCCGTCCCCGCGCTTCCCATCCTCCCCCCACGCGCTCACCCCCCAGGGCACGTCGGACGAGGTGGTGGACGTGTCGCACGGGCAGATGCTGGTGGACGCGTGCAAGCGGCCGTTTGAGCCGCTGTTCCTGGAGGGCGGGCACCACTGCGACCTCGAGTTCTTCCCCGAGTACTTGCGCTGCCTGCGCAAATACATCTCCTACCTCGTCCAGCACCCCCCCGCGCCCCAGCCCGACCTCCCCAGGAAGGCCAAGAGGGTGAGCGCGCAGGGGGATGCGGGGAGGTGTGGGGCGGGGACGGAGGGGAATGGAGGGGGTAAAGGAGGTGGGGAGGGAAACGAGAGGCTAATGGGAGGGGTGGGGGGGGGGGGCTGGAAGGATGGGCAGCAAGACAAGGGTGACGGAAGGATTGGCGGGTGCAGGGCCTGGCTGGCCATTGCATAGGGCAGTGGGTTTGTGCCGCCTGTTTGTCTTGGCTCGAAATTCCTTATTACTTTGGTGGTCGTGTGATGGGAATGAAGTTGCCGAGTCCATTTCGGGGTTCATCAGTCTGTTATGCCCCCCACAAGCGCCGCATAAGCAAACCAACTTCCTGGGCTGGGTTGGGTTTTGTCCAACCCTTTTCACACCTCTCTCCTCCATCCATTCCTCACACGTTCCTCTGTTGTCCCAACCAGCTCCTTGCCTCTTCGACTCTTCCACTAACACCTGCTCCCGCCTTCCTTCTTCCCTCTCCCCCCATCTCCGTTCGCTCTTCCCCGCTTCTCCCACTCCCTCTCCCCGTCGTCCCCGCGCCCTTCCCCTTGTCGCCAGCGCCCCGGCTGGGGAACCCCCATAACAGCCATCCGTTCCTTCATGACCCCCAACCGCCACCGCCACCCCTCCGGTACCGCCTCTGCTCCTGCCACTCCCCTTGGCTCTTTCTCCGGCTCTCCCGCCTCCTCCTCCTCCTCCTCCTCCTCCCCCGCCTCTCTCCCCACCTCCAACGGCAACTCAGTCGATTCCGCCTCGTCCTCTTCCTCTGCTGCGGCTACGCCCAACCGTAAAACCCGGTCTTGGAAGCTGAGGGCCATGTCCCCGTCGTTCCGCTTCTCCCCTTCGACCTGGCGGGATGCGAGGAGGAAGGGATCGGAGGATGGGCAAGCGGAGGGGGCGGAAGCACTAGGAGTGGCAGCAGTGGCACAAGGGAAAGCTCCTAGCAGTGCTGCCACAGGTTCAGGATCAGGCTCTGCTGCTGCTCATCCTGTGAATGGCCTAGCAGCTGAAGGTGTTGGTGCTGCTGCGAATGGAAAGGCCATTGAAGATTCAGCAGCAGTGGCGGTGACAGGAGTTGCTGGTATGGGCGGGGAAGTGGGGTCCAGCCAATGAAGTGGTGTTACTTCAGGGTTGTGTGAGGTTGGAGTTGGTGGGGAGTGGTGGTGGCCAGATAGTGGCGTGAGTGGTGCAGGATGGGTGGCAATCAAGGGCAGCAGGCTGAAGGGATGAGATGAATCAGTGGGAAGGAGAGGGGTTGAGTGAGGGAGCAAGGAGTACATCTGAGGGCTGTTTGTGATGAGGGCAGCATGTGGAGGAAGGGAGCATGTGGAGGAAGGGAATGTGGTTTTTTCTGACGGATGATCAAGAATGTTGGTGCCACATTGCAATTGACCTTGGGTTGTGTTGTGTTGTTCCGTGCCGTGCCGTGCCGTGCCGTGCTGTGCCGTGCCGTGCCGTGCTGTGCCGTGCCTTGCTGTGCCGTCCCGTGCGGTGCTGTGCTGTGCCTGTGCCTGTGTGTGACTTGTCTGGGCGGTTCCACTGTGTGTGCTTTGCTAGGAGCGACTATGGCCCTGTGCCCGTGGGTGCATGCATAGAGATAGGTGAGGGAACTTGTTTGGGAGTGCCTCAATATGACCATGGCCTGTAACAGTTCCTGTTAATCTTTTTGGTGGTTTCTGAACAGTGATTAACTGGTGCCGTATGGGCGAGCGCCTTACATTATTACCCTCCTGGGACTCCCACGCCCACTTCCAGCATCCCTTTTCCCTCACTCTAACCCCGTTCTTCCTTCATCAGTCCCACTTCCTTCCCTTGTCGCACCTTATTCCCCGTCAGTCTCGTCCCTGTTTTGAGCCGTATTTGCCCCTCCACTCCATTACTGAGGTCATGCTGAATTCTTGGGTGGGATGCTTTGACATATAAAGCTGAGGTCCCAAGGTCAGCTCTTACTTCCACATTACCAGGGTTACACCTTATCGGTGTACGGTTACATGCTGCTCGAGGAGTTGGTTCTTTGGGGTAGTTCATACTGGAAAGACGGTTTGCCAATCTGAAGTTTTGTTTTGCAGATAATTAAGTCTCAAGATATACCGGTAACATGTTGGTTCAGCTCAACATATCTTAGGCCTGCTCTCCTGTGTAAACGAGAAAGTATTACCGGTCTTTCTAACCCTTTCTCCAGAGGCTCGCTACACAACCGCGAAATCTCTTCGTTTGTGACAAGACTCCACACTTACCTGGCTTGTCGAAGTAGAACTTGCTGTATTTCCAGCCGTGTGTGGTCGAGCAGGGCTTGCTGCCGTCCCGTGCGATTGCTGCTCGTGAGTCGGCACGGCACGATGTCTATCCACGCTGGTGTCGCGCACTGCTCACGATTCGGCGAGTCGCAACGCCTCGCACTCGTTTCCTATGGTGCGTCGCACACTCCCGCGCGTGGGAGCGCCGCCGTCGCATGCCGGTCTTATCGTGTCGAAGTCATAGGGAGTGCGAGGTCGCGCTGCGGAAGAATGAGCAGCAGCTTTAAGAATGTGATCGGTAGCGGTGGTGGCGGAGCTGGCCTCTCAGCGGACGCCACGTGGACAGCGTTACAACATTCTCACGCTACCCGTTTCAGTTCATTATTGGCCGTACTCTCAGTACCTCGCGCGATTTCCGGAACCAATTCGCTGCGAATGCTGGGGAGAAAAGAGTGTTTGAACCATCGGCGCCAACTTCAACGACCAGCTCCGGTGGGACTATATCCCTCAAGGGGGAGGGTTTAAGATGGGTGGATGGAAGGGAAACTAGGGGATTTGATGGTGCATGGGAGTGTGTGTGGGTGGGGGATTTGAGACGGGCTGTATGGGTGCGCGTTTACGAGATTGTGGTGTTGGGTGGGAGGGCAAGGGAGGGGCGTCGTGTAAAAGTACACTTCTATTTTCCATGTGTGGTTGCGCATGCATTGAAGTAGTGCGCGATGGCAAGCAAGCATGTGCAGCTGCTTCTGGCTGTTCAGAGCCGCGTTTTGCCATCTCATGCCTTGCCTCCTGCCGCTTGCCTCTTGCCTCTGGCTGCATTTCATGCCTTGTCTCTCGCAGCAGCAACCAGTGCATCTCATCTCATAACATCTCATCACAACTCGTCATCATTGCATTCCTGCATTTTTCCATCTCTCACGCATCTTCCCCCCGCCCTGTCCCACGTTCCTATTCCTTCCCCCTCTCCATATGCTCCTCCTAACCCCCCCACCTCCCCTTCACAGCCTTTCACCCGAATCACATGCCGGTTCAGCAGTGGCAGCGGGATAGGGAAAAATCCTAGTCCTGGCAGCAGGCCGAAAAAACAACCCTCCACCTCCTCCTCCCCAACTCCCTCCTCCCCTTCCTCCCCACAACAAGCTAAGGCTCTCCCACCCCCACTCGCCTCCTTCCCCTGGGCTCCCCTTCTCTCATCTATCCTCGCACGCTTCCACTCCCTGCTCTCCGTCTCCTTCTCCCTCCTCCTCCTGCCCTACCTCCTCTCCTCATCCCTAGGAGAACTCGCCTTTGCTCTCAGGCAGCAGCAGGTGCTGCTGGCGGGGGCAACGGCGCTCACAGGTTGTCTGGGCTGCTATTGGCTGATGGAGCAAGCAGGGAAGGAGCTGGGCGGGCTGATGAAGGGAGAAGGTGCTGTTGGCAAGGTTCTTGCACTTGTTGTCCAGGTTAGTAATGGCATGGAATCTGTGCTTGTTCCTGTTCTGTTTGTTCCCTTTGCACGGTGGCATCTCATCTCACATGTTTTGATTGTGCTGCATCTTTACACATGTGCTGAAACCGCCTTGCTTTTCTGTGTTCTGGTTACCTTTGTTCAGAACTCTACCAACATTATGATGGTTGTTGCGGTCATCTGTGCTCTTCTCAAGGCCGCGGGACCCGCTCTCCCACCTGTCCTTCGTGTGATCGTACCATTCTTGGCAAACGGTGGTTTAGTTGCTGTTTCTTTGCGGTTAGTTATGCGGCTTGTGTAGGTATGCACATAGGCAGGCATTGATGGGAAAATATCGTAAGGAGGTAGCCATGACCCAAATACTAGATGATATAAGTCCAGCGATTTGTGTTGAGAATGGGGAGGGGACTACCGTCAGTGTCCTGTTTTTGTTAGAAATAACATTCACTCAATAAGCAGCAATTTGTTCTTGAGCCTACCACCTTTCACCGTAAAGAACCTCTCCATTTACCCAATTTTTCATTCTCCCCACTTATGCTCTGCTCCAGCTCTGGCCCCGGCCCAATCCAAACACGCGCTACTGAACCCCCCCAGCACACGCGCCATCATTCAACTTCCGCCAATCCGCTCCGCGCGTGCCTCTCGTCGTCGCCCTTCCACTCGCCGATTCTCCGCACATCACGCCTAGCGTCGTGGCGGACGGTGATTCCTCTGCCATTGGGAAAACGTTATCTTGTACGTCACGCGTTTTCGTGGAGCGATCCGTTTGAGGAGTGTGCAGCGGCGAGTGGGAGGATCCATCACTGATACTCCTTCCGCTTCGCATCACCGTTCGCCTTCGCCGCAGGCAGTAGTTACGGTATCCGTGCGCTCTGCTCTGATCCGCTCCGCGCCGCGCCCGTTCGTTGATCCGTCATCATGTCGTGGCGCGCGTCGCTCTCGCGCTTCCTCCACGAGATCCGCATCCAGCTCTGCCAAACCTCGCCCGCGAGCTCCGCCACCAGGTACGCCGCGATTCTCGGCGCGAACCGTGTGGATTTGGGGTGACTGGGAACAGTAACCTTGTGAGACGTCTCGAGGCAAGTCTTTTGTCTGGCTTCGTTGGGCAAGTTGGAAATTCACCGCCGGCTGGGTGAACATGGGGTTAGAAGTGCGGCATACAGGCTGTTTTAAATCGCGCATTGGTTGTTTTCCTTGTAGAGGGTCTGCTTTTATTGGTAATGTGTCGGAACGAAGAGGCGCGGGGTACATCGCGTAGCTGGGCGTGCGATTAGTCGGCTTCGGTGGGGCATGTGGTGCAACGTTAGCGCGGTCAACCAAGGACGACGGATTCCTCCTGATCAGTCAGTTTTCCGTCAGTCAATCAAATTCAGTCAGGCTGTACTCGTGTCGCCGTCCTGCCAGTGCCAGGGGTCGATCGATCGATGTAGTCCTCTGTGCATCACGCGTTCCCATGCCCGTTGCTAACATCACGCGTCCGCCTGTGCACGCTTCATTAGGCGTCAGGTTCTTGCCTGAACCACGCCATATCGCGCATTCCGTCAAAGCCTCCCAGGTCAGCCATTCCGCTTTATCCACTCACTCTCATCCTTCCTTTTGTTTCTCTTAACTGACGCACCCTGCTTCCATGCAAATCCCCACCTTTTTCTCCCCCCCCCCTTCTTTCCCACCTCATCCCCCGCGCCTCCCCTCATCGCCCCCCTTTCCGTGCTCCGCTTCTTCCCCTCCCTTCCTCTTTCCCCACGCCTCCCTTCCCCCGCCGTTCCCCGCGCCACTCCGCGCAGGCAGTTCGTGCAGCGCAACTACGCGGACCTGAAGCAGCAGAACCCGCACCTGCCCATCCTCATACGCGAGTGCAGCGGCGTGCAGCCGCGCATCACCGCGCGCTATGGTACGCCGCGTGCGCCCTGGCGCGGGGGAGGAGGGACGTGCACCGGGGAGGAGGGGAGGTCGGGGTGGGGCAGGGCGGGGGAGGAAGGCGTGGGGTGGGAAGAGGTGGTTGGGATAGCGGATGAGAGTAGAGAAGGGGGCCGCAAGTAGAGGGAGGCTGGGTGTGCGAGGACAGGGAGAGAGGATCAGGGAGAGAGGAGAGAGGAACGGGCAGGGTGCTTGGTGTGTGGGGAGCTTGGCATTCATGCATTCCAGTGGTCAGGGAAGAGCGAGTATGGGGGAGATGAGGGGGGAGGCGGGAGGGGGAGTGGGGAGGGGACAGGGGGGAGGAAGGAGGGGGAAGAGGGAGAGGGGGGGCAGCATAGGGATGATGGTAGACGGCATGAGGCCTGTGCGGGCAGATGTGTTTGACAGCCCCTGCCACTGTGCTTCTCTGTTTCTCTGTGTTGCTGACTCTTGATTGATCTAAACGTACATGTGCAGTGTGCACTGGTTCTGCACTGCTCTTCCATTGCAGTGTCTAATCACCTCCATCCATCCCATCATCGCCTTGGCTCTTTTGCTCCCTCACTGCCTCTGGCCCCTCCCTTGACTCCCAGTCAATGCCCAACACCCATCCCTTGACTCCCAGCCAATGCCCAACACCCCTCCCTTGACTCCCGGTCAATGCCCAACACCCCTCCCTTTAACCCCTTTCCCTTCTCCCGGTCCCTTTTTTCAGTCTCCCCCTTGTTCTGTCATTTCCTCACCCGGTTTCTTCATGGCCTCCCATCCGTCCATCTATCCCTTTCTTCTTGTTCCTGCTTTCCCGGTGCATGCCTCTCGTACTGCCTTTCTGTGCGCAGACTATGGAGTGGAGCACAGCATGGCACTGGAAGGCCTGTCTGAGGAGCAGATAGATGGCAAGCTCAAGGAGTTGCTGGACCTGGGCAAGATGGCCGCAGCAGATGCAGCAGCAGCCAAGCAGTAACCCGCTAGGTTTAGTGTAGAATTTGAAGTAAACTTCATTTGTTTCGAAATGCTGGAAAGCACAGATGACTGCCACGTGACGTGATTGGTTTTTTTTTTTTTCTTTTGCTCTCTGGACTGCTTTTACAGTATCAGGCGTTGTTGTCGTTTGCTATGTTATAGATTGGCTGTGTTTCTTGCACACTGGTACAAAAATCAACCCCGTAATGGGACCGTGACGAGGTTGAAGTAAATATTGTGGATTAAGCTGCCGCACTGATAGGATGCACTCAAGGACAGTATCTAAGGTATCTAGGTGAAAGTTCATGTATGCAGCCATTCAATTGTGGTGATTATGTCGGTGAGTTACCAACACAGCTTTTGTTTTGTGACGCGTCAGATTATACCTTGAAAAGTGGCTTTGCGACAAAACGCACCACTGCCTTCCAGACATGGGGCACGTCGTGGGTGGAACAAGGAGGCCGCGCCGCCGCCGCTTCTTGTGTTTGAGAGGTGTTCGACGAGATGACGAAACGAGGAGTTCACGGTTCACGCGGCTCCATTCCCGTCAAACACAGAAGACGTGATTCGCCAAACGGGTGGGGGGGAGGTGGGAACTGTCCCACCCACCAGGAATGTCCCTGCGAAACCTGGAATGATCTGGACATGCTCGCGATCCCACGCTGTCCACACGGCGAAGATTGTTCTGTGGGAAATGGTTACCGAAACTAGGCTTCACTGGCGAAATTCAGTGGAGATACGCGCAGGCACGGTTGGGGATAGGCATGCGTCGTTGGTGAGGGCGAGGGAAGGACCGACGAATGTGGGTGCGCTTGTGGGAGCGACAGAAAAACAGGACGACGACCTGATGGTTGAACAATCGTTTTGTCACGGTTTGGACTGTTTCCGCGCGGTCTAAATTGGTGAAGAACTAGGACCGGTTTCCAACGCCACGCACCAGATTCGACCGAATGGGAAGTACGCGTCAGACGTTTCCTTGGATGATGCACGCGCGAGAGTAAGAGCACGGGAGAACGTAGACAAAAAGAGGCTCAACAATTGAGCCTCACTTGCTTCCCTTATTTTGATTTGACCTGACCATTCGCCACGACCACTCGCGACATTCTTGATCGCGGTAGAGCTTAGGCGCCTCTCCCTTGCGCACACGATCTTCCTCGTCGGCACCCCGGCGAATTATTAGAAGAAAAGAGAAACCACATCGACTGTGACAAGGCAAAATCGAATTAGTCGATTCGTGAAGTTTCTTACCTCAGGATCCCAAGGCCGTCTTCGAGGCCCGTGTGATACGGTCACGCCATGGCGCGCACTCGCGATCGGCAACCACGGCAATTAGCCGCTGCCGCCGTTGCAAGCCTTTTTTGTCTACAGCTTGCGAGGTGAGTCCATACGATGATATGCTGTGGTTGCTGTTGGGTCCACAATTACGTGCATGCCATGTTGTTGTTTTGTGCTCGCCCTAGTTAGCGTTTGAGACCAGAACGGTGACAGGACGGCACTGATTCTCCGTGTTCTGGTATTGCTTCCCCAACTCCTCCCGCACTCCCCCCCGCCTCTTCCCCCTACCCCCACGCCCACTCTTTTCGCGCCATCAATCCTATTGAAGCAGCGCTGACCCTCTCGCTGCACATCCGAATTTCCAGCTCAATGCACCCCCACCCGCCCTTCCGCCCTTCCCCGCCCTACCTTAACCTTCCGCACCCCGCACCCTTCCGCGGTTTGTTGCACCCTTCCGCGACCTTCTGCGGCCTTGCGCAGTTTTTCGCGCCCTTCCGCCTCAAGTCCCTTCACTGTGCGAGTGACGACCCCTCGCTCTTCTTCTCATCAACCCCCCTGGTTGCTCCTTTCACCCCTCTCTCTCTCTCCCTCTTCTCACCGTCTCTCCCTGCGCCTCCCCCCTCTCGCACCACGATCCAGCTACACGCTCACGTCATCCGCAGCATCATCCGCCAATTCCGCGTGGCTCGCATCGAATGACGGCTCCAGTCCGCGCAATGCCTCCTCCTCCTCCTCCTCCTCCTCCTCCTCCTCCTCCTCCTCCTCCTCCTCCTCCTCCTCCTCCTCCTCCTCCTCCTCCTCCTCCTCATCCTCATCCTCCTCCTCTTCCTCCGCGGGCAAGCGCTCAGCGCAGGTCGTGGGTCCGCGGTGCCGCGGCCCGTGCTGCTCCAACCGCGCGCCGCGCATTCCCAGGGGCAGGCCGTCGTTCAAATCCAAGTGGATCAGCGCGCAGATGGCGCACGGCGCGCGGGTATGATGCACGGGGATAGGGCCGGGGGTAAGGGGACGGAGAAAAAGGGAGGGGTGGTCGGAAAAAGACGGGGGCTGGCGGAAAGGAGAAGAATTGTTCGGGGAAGAGGGGAAGGAGGACCTGGAGAGACTGGGGCGGATAGGAGAAACGGATGGGCGGGTAGGACGGCTCGCACATGCCCGCCACGTGCAGTGCGCCCCGGCAGCTGCCATTGAGGCTACTCCCAAAACCCGAAATAATGAAAACCCTTGGCGTGTAGATGCCTTGCTTTTCGCGTCTAGGCGCCTTGGATTTTCTCCTGGGCTTCGAGTCGCATCGGGCATTGAGACGCCTTAAGAGGGTCCGCGCAGAGAGTTATTTCTCCCACCTTGTGTCTCCACTCGTCGCGCCCCATCCTCGGACCCGACCTTCTCGTTACCTGCCCCTAACCTTCCCCTTAACCTCTACCCTCTTCCATTTCCCCTTCCGCTTCCCGTTCCGCTTGCTCCGCCGCCGTCGCGCGCGCGCAACAGGTGCATCTGATGTCCAAGGCGTTTCAGACGTGGTGGGGTCCGGAGAACGCCAAGTCGTGGGGCGGCGGCGGCGGCACGGTGCAGTCGCCGCACCGCGGCGAGCCCAGCATCCTGTCGTCCTTCCTCGTCTCGCGCGTCTCCAACACGCAGGTCCGCCCCATGGCCTCCCCGACATGCCCTCCCCCCGCCATGCCCTCACCATATCGTGGCCTCTCTCTGGACGAACCACCCCCGCCCGTGTGCGTTGCAGCCGTGTTGTGAAAGCACTCAACAGCGATACCCCCACAGCATCCCCATTTCCCCATTGCAGCCGTGCCCTTCCTCTCCAACCTCTTCCCCCTTCTCTTCCTTCTCCTCCCCCCCCCCCCGTTTCCCCCCTCCCCTTCCTCCCACTTCTCCCCCTCCCCGCGCGCCACAACGCGCCACCAGATCCGCCTGCAAGTGCCGAACGGCAAGTACGTGCGCGCGGGCGGCGTGTACACGGGCATCAACGCCAAGTTCCCCACCCTGGACCTCACGCCCAAGGCGGACCGCACCACCATCTTCACCATCGTCTCCGCCGGCGCTGATACCGTGAGTAGAACGTACGGGAATACACGGGAGTGCACGGGAGCTTCTTTATCTGAGAGGAGTTGTGCACACAAGAGTTTTTCTTCTTCTTCTTCTTTACCATAGCATAGTCAAAGCCGGGTGGTCCCTCCGCTCCACACTGCTGGAACTATTCTCCCCCTTCCTTTGCTCTTCACCCCACCTCCCTGCAAATCAACCTCCTGGCATATGACGGCAAGTACATAAGCGCGAGCGGCAACAAGGGCGACCAGCTGCTGCGATTGTTGTGCCTGGTCCCGCTGCCGCCCCGCACCCCTGGAACAACAACCCTCCCCTTTATTCCCCACCTTCTCCCCACACCCCTCTCTTCCCCCTTTCCCTCGCTCTACCCCCGCTCTCCTCCCCGCAGATCAACCTACTGGCGTACGACGGCAAGTACGTGAGTGCGAGCGGCAACAAGGGCGACCAGCTGCTGCGGTGGGCGACGTCGCCGTCGGAGTGGGAGGCGTTCGTGGTGTTCGAGGCCATGATGGTGCCCGCCATTCGCGGCGCCAACGTGGGCGGGTGGCTCGTGTACGAGCGGTGGATGAACCCCGGGCTGTACAGCACCCCGCGCAAGTGGAAGGACGGCACCATGGTGCGCGGGGGGGGGGAAGGGAGGAGGAGGGGAACTTGAGGGATGTGGGGGATTGGGAAAGAGAGATCTGGGAAATGCCGGGAAGGATAAGTGGTAGGTGTATCTGATGCTGTCGATCATGGACTAAAGTTGCCGCTGCTGCTGGTGGAGTGGAGTGGCAGAGAGAATCCGGTTGGTGCCTGTTTGTCCTTCTCACCTCTCTCACCTCTCTCACCTCTCTCACCTCTCTCCCCTGCTCCCGTGCTCTGCCTCCTCTCCCCACCCATGCGCCCATCCATGGTTCGATTCCCCCCTATCCGCGGCCATCAGTTCCGGCTGCAATCGATGACGACCAAGAAGTATGTCACGGCCAAGAACTATGGCGGCAGCACGGTACGTGCTCCTCACAGCCTGTCACCGCTAACTGGGCCCCACTCACTCACTCACTCACCCACCCTCTCACTAACTCACTCACTCACCCACCCTCTCACTAACTCACTCACTCACCCACCCTCTCACTAACTCACTCACTCACCCACCCTCTCACTAACTCACTCACCCACCCTCTCACTAACTCACTCACTCACCCACCCTCTCACTAACTCACTCACTCACCCACCCTCTCACTAACTCACTCACTCACCCACCCTCTCACGCACCACCCACCATCACCTTGATCGCATCCCCCTGTACGTCCCTCCCCCACCTTCGCCCCTTCACACCCCTTCTTGATGTCTCTACGTCTGCAATCTGCCTGTTCCCTTCCTCCCTCCTCCCCTCGCCCTCCCTCTCGCCCTCCCTCTCGCCCTCCCTCTCGCCCTCCCCGTCGCCCTCTCCCCCCGGCAGATCATATGCAAGGACTCCACTCCGGGCTATGACGGCATCTTCTTCCTCCGCACCAACGGCGCCAAGTACCAGGTATGCATGCATGCACCCATGCATGCACCCATGCATGCACATGCACACGCATGCACACATATTTGCGTGCACACGTTCACATGCATGCAACACAGAAGTCCGTCGGAGGAACCACCACCATCAGACCAACATGTCCCCCTGTTTCTTTTCCCAGATATCAAGCATTCCTTATCCCAGTCATCACCAGTTTCCTTCACCATGGCCCAATTCTCTTCACCTACTCTCCTTTGCCTTCTCCCCCGTGCACCCTCTCCTTCCACCGCCCCTTCACTCTCCTTTCTCCTCACACCACTACCCCCCGCTATCCTGTCCGTCCTACAGGACACCAGTTTTTTCACCTCACCCTGTCCTTCTCTCCTTTCCCTCTCTTTCCCCCTCTCTCCCCCACCCCTCCCTCCCACTCCTCCCCCGCTCCCTCGGTTGCACCTGGCGTCATCTCTCCGGGAGCAGGTGCGAGTGCAGGGCACGCAGTACTGGGCGCTCTCAGGCTCCTCTGTCGTCGCTGGCTCACCCAACCCCACCAAGAAGGTGCTCTGCACACACACACACACACACGCACGCACACGCGCACGCACGCATGCATGCCTGCATGCATGTGCACGCTTGGACAAAGGCATACATGCACATATGATGTTCGGACTGACATCTTTTTTCAGTTCAGGTACCAGCAGTATGAGTTCTTCCAGCCTCTCAAACACCCCCCTACTCTCTCTCTCCTCTCTCCCTCCATCTCCTGTCCTCTCCTCTCCTCTCCTCTCCTCTCCTCTCCTCTCCTCTCCTCTCCTCTCCTCTCCGCCTCACTCCCCCGGCCTCCCAACCGCCAGTACTCGGACTTCTCCTTCCAGTTCAAGGACAGCAGTCTGTCGCTGGTGCGAGTGGTAGCGGCCAACGGCAAGATGCTGCGCGCCACCGCATCAGGCGACCTCGTGGCTGATGGCACCTCCACCTCATGGTCGGGGGACACTGCCTTCGCCGTCACCATCGTACGTTTTTTTTTTTTTTTTTTTTTTTTTTTTTTTGTCTCGAGAGTGAATTTATTTAGTACGTGGGCCTGACCCGCGTTAACGCCCTGGCAAGTAGAAAATCCGTTACTGCCCTGCAACGCATCTTACCCTGGGCACTAACGGATTGCAATCTCATCTCACCACCGCTTCTTCCCGCTCGCGACCACCCCATCCTTTCTCTCGTTCCTTCCCTCTCCGCTCACTCATAATCCACTAACGCCCTTGCTAACTCACCAACCCTCTCCACCCTTCCCCTCTCTCCTCCTCCCCCTCCCCCCAACCACCAGACGGGCACGCGGGACGACGAGTGGCAGCTCGCCGCCTCTGTCGGTCCCAGCAAGGTCACGCCCTACATGTCGTCCTTCCGCACCGCCTTCCTCACACAAGCCGACTTCCGGTACATGAGGCGCCAGGGGCTCAACGCCGCGCGCATCCCCATCCCCTACTGGGTCATGCAGGACCCTAAACCCGAGTACCCCTGGGCGGCAGGCACGCGGGAGCGCCTGGACTGGGCGTTCACCATGGGGAGGAAGTACGGCATCCGCATCTGGCTGTCCCTGCACGTTCTCCCCGGGACGCAGAGCGGCACGTACGGGTCGCGGGACTCGCTCACGCTCTGGCCGCTCGCAGCCAACTACCAGAAGTCGCTCCAGCTTGTGGAGTGGCTCGGGAAGCGGTACGGCGGGAAGAGCGAGTTCCTAGGGATCGGGTTAGTCAACGAGCCGGCGGCGCCGTGGGCGTACGGGGTGCAGTCAGGCGTGTCGCTGCCGCTGCTGAAGAAGTACTACAGCGCGGGGTACAAGGCGCTGCGCAAGGGCGCCAAGTGCGTGTTCATGTCCATGGAGGGGCGCATCGGGTCCAACATATGGGAGGTGCACTGGCACCTGTACGACAACATCCACACGAACGTGATCCTCGAGTCGCACCTGTACAATGTGTTTAATCCCGAGCTGGTGAACAACAAGAAGATGACGGCCGCGCAGGAGGTGGAGTACACGCGCACCACCATGCCTGCCAAGCTCAGGGACTACCAGCAGGTGAGCGCGCTCAGCCATGGCCATTGCTGATCTCTTGTTGTGCCAACCTGTTTGGTGCCATGCCAAGCCAACCCACTTGTGCTTTCTTGCCGTACAAGCCTCACCTGGCATCAACCTCTCTCCCTTCCCCTCTGTTCCACCCCCGCCACTCTGCCATTCCATCGCTGCTCCCCTGCATACTCCCTGTGCAGTTTGGGCGGCCAGTGCTGGTGGGAGAGTTCTCCAATGCCATGGCGCATCCTGACGACAGCTACCAGGCGGCATTCAGCAAGGCGCAGCTGCAGGCCTTTGCCACCGCACAGGCCGGCTGGTTCTTCTGGTCGCTCAAGCATAATATCTCGCTCGGTATGATCTGGGGGAAGGGCAGGCGGTGAGGGGAAGTTAGGGGGTAGAGGAATGAGTGGATGTGGGGGAAGTTGAGAGCGTCCTGACACGGCAAGCGTGCGTTGTAGAGGGACATGGAGTGGCATGATTGAGATATTTTTCTTTCTTTCCACTGCATTGTGCAGTTAATCTGAGTCCTTTCCCCTGCCACGTTCATGGGCAGGTTACGAGCACTGGAGCTTCGTCAAGAGC